TATAGATATTCATATAGATATAGATGTGTAGATGTATAGATGGATAGATATACAGTAACACAAGACAAAGCGAATAAGGTTATGCTGCGTTCACCGAAGAGCGGCTGAGTTGACAGTCGACTCTCAAGACAACAGGCGGATGTCTTTGACTGACATTTGCTTACAGTGGGGGAAGGAAAGACGTGCCGTCTCGTCTCAGCTGTCACTGCAGAGCCTGTGGTGGGAAAAGGGGGTAAAAACAATGCCCACACGCTCGGTCACCTCCACAAGCCGAGACACCCCCCCCCCCCTCTTCAACACCAAAATAAAACGACACTGGAACATCTTTTGTTCTCCTTGTTTTGTTCTTATTGTTGTCTCTTTCGTTTGGTGTGAGTCAGTGTGCGGCTGTTCAACAGTTTGAGTGTTTCCCCAAATAAATCGTGTTGAAAAGACTTGACTGTGATGATGAAAAACAAAAGAGACAACTTTTTGTCTCTGGCAGCCAATTGCACCATTTGGCTTTGATGTCTGATTCAAGAAGCCTTCAAGACGGAGGTGGTTCACTGTGAATGTAAACGCTAATGCAATTTCTCTATTTGCATAACAAAGACAAGCCGGATTGATATCAGGAGAGATTTTGATCTTATCCCACGATGTGCCAGCCAGCACCGCCCTCTTCCTTTCCAATCGACATCACACGGCGCCAGAGGAGCTCACCCAGAATAACCGGATGGGCCTCCAGGGAGTAGCGGAGAGGGGGGGGGGGGCAACTGCTCACTAATATAATATGTATGAGTTGAGTGCCGTGTCTTTCTTGGACAGAGAGACATTCTTCAGAGACGCCTGGATGAATCTGTGCCTTTGTTGCGTAACATCACACAGTAAAAAAAAAAAAAAAACTGTCTGGTTTTCCGGATGGGCGCACGTCACGGTATTGCTGGTTGGACGACCCGGCCCGGAGGAGCGCTGCAGAGATATCTGTCGAAGAGGCTCGTCTTCTCATGTTTTTTTCCTGTGCCGCAGTAAATCAGCCGAGCAGGCCTCCGTTAAGGAAAGATCTATCACCTCGTGCTTGCTCATGGAGACAAACAGCGCCACTCATTATCCGCATACATTTAGGATACAGCTGCAGGGGTTTTCTATTTCAGAGCAGCCGTGTCAGAGCTGTAAAAATACAACAAGACGAGACAGTGGTTGAACCTGAAGCCTGTAGAAACTTTTAGACTCTTTTTGAATGGAGGAGCTGCAGAACATCAGAACAGTTTTGTTTTTTTAATTTAGGAGATTTCTGAACACAAGACGGTGTAGAAGGTCTTTTGACGGGTTCTATACTGAACTACAGCTCATATACAGGAGTACCGGTGTGCGCTCTGTGGGTGTGACGTCCTTATCACTCCCCGCGGTCAGTATTTTATCCCCGGTCATGAACTGTGTTGCATAAGACTTTATGTAGTCTGACTTTATCGCTGACACTTCCCCCGTTCTCCGTCTGCTGACCGAAGCTTTGTTCTTCTTTCCAAATGCCATCCCAGGGCGGAAAAGTCACGACGACTTGGCCTTCTGAGCCTTTTGATGTTAGAAAATTTTCCACGTAGCAGTCGGTCGCAGCTGGGCTTGACACAAAGCACCAGAACACCAGAATCGTCATCAGAGCTACTCGACCACACGCTGAGAATAATCGGAGGTCGGACGAAAAAAAAAAAAGGTAGAAGGAGGCTTTCAACGTTTGAGTCATCTATTGATTCACACCCCGCTGACGGGCCGCTCAATGCCCGTTCAGGTCGGGATTTTTCATTGCGGGCTTTTACGGGAAAGTGTGATTTTTGCCTAATGATTAGTAAGAAGTAAGCCAATAGTTTCCCATAATACATTGAGAGCCATGCAGCAAATCCTTTCATATGTCAGTTGAGGTGACAAGGCTTGATCACTGATCGGCTGGGTCACACACCCTGCTGCCGTGGTTGCCAGGGGCAACGCTCGGGCCCTGACCAACGGCGCCCAAGCCGGCCTATAGTTTCAGATATCAAGAGATGTTCTGCCTGCAAATAGCCGGGGATAAATCTCAAATTCTTATTTATCTTCTTAGAAGTTACATTTACTGTGACGCATTAATATTTAATGGCACGATATGTTTGTGTCATCAATCAATGTTTTGTGGTCTCCAGCTGAATGACACTTTGACAACGGCGATCTGCCGATAATCAGGGGGCCATCTGCTCGTCCCGAACATGTCGGACACATGGCCCGTTTCCCGAATCCATCAACCCAAAGAAACTACTCAGCAGCCGGAGATCCGTGTGTCTCTCGAAGGATGCATTACAGCTTTAGCACCGACAACCCCTCAGTGGACACGAGTCGACTTTTGACATCACAAAAGATGTCGCCGTCCCTAGGACAGGAAGTCGGCCCAACTCACTGAATGAACGAGCTCTCAGGCAAGGGTTCATTGAAGGGTTCGTGGGGCCCTGATGGGTGGCACTACATCTCACTAAAAACGACGCGTGTGATGGAAATCAGCCACGTTACAGGCGTACAAGTTGTCTTCAGCAGCAGCCACGTTCTGATTATATCAGAAGAAAGTGTGAGGAGTGTATTTCCTCTCTCTTTACACCGCAGCATGTTAGAAATTGTTGATAATAAAGGAGATAACAAAAACTGTTTTTTATGGCTACCTTCAAATCGGGGCTTGCAGCCAATTAAAACAAAAAAACACATTAAGTTGTTGTATATTTAACGCAACAGTAACTTACGATACAATGTTGTATCAAAGGACAATGTGAAAGGGGTCCGTCGTGCTAATGAACCTATAAGAATTATCATTATTGTGGTCGAAAATATATCTGACAGATTTACATTCATCAGGAAGAAAAAGAGACAAGACTCCGTAAATGAGAATGTTATTCTTGGCAACAAGAATGTCAACAACTTGTCCCCAGAGAACAAGACTTGGAAAAAGCACCATCCAAAAACATGACGCATATCAAAGCAACTCTTTGCCGGCAAGTTCACAATATCAACATTAAGAATGATGGTGAAAATGTTCACTACTTCATCTTCACTTACTTCCAGGTGAGCACACAAGTCCGTTATCGCAGTATTTAGGCCTTTTTCCGACTCAATGGCGATCAGAGGACAAGGTTCAAAACGCCGCTCTCCATCTCGCCCTCCCTCTCTCTCACACCACCCACTCCCCGAGCCATCCAATAATAGACAAAAATCCACTCCAACAACACAGACTAAGTATGGTATTACCACAGCGCTGCTGGGAATAACATTTGTTTGTGTTCACGTTTGTTCACCCTGTTAATCTTGGATTCGCAACAACGAGGGAGGGTATCTGTAAAAAAAAAAAAAGTAAAAAGTATTTGTACTTCCACATATTGAGGCGCAGAAAGAGACGTCCTCCGAGACGCCACAGCATCTCAGTAACAGTGCTCGTGCTGTGAAACGGTCATGGGATCATGACGTTGATGTTAGCGGTTCATTCTGCCACACCAAACACTAAAATAAAATGCAAGCAGACGGTAAATAAGAACTGTCTGTTTTCTGTCAACGGTGCGAATGGCACACCTGCAGATTCATTGCACTTTCATCCACGTTAAGCGGCCATCTTTAGAGCACCTGCGGGGGCCTGTTTAATGAAGTCAGCTGAAACTACGAGACGTCCAGAGCACAGACTCGATCTTTGCGCTCCCTCGTTTGTAGTGTGTGGGAGTTGTGTCTCCTCAGGGTGCCAACAAGTTCTCCAGCAGGCCAAAGAGCAGCAGATCTTCTTTTTTTTTTTCATTGGGGGGGGACTTACTTACCTGTTGCTCTTTCAACCGCAGAGAACTCATCAAGCCCCCTTTCTCTAGTTTACCGGCATCCAAAGGATCGTGATCTAATTGGCTTTGACCGGCTCATATCCCTAGAGGCTGTTTTGGCTACATTCCACAGTGAGCAGCGTGGATCAGTCATTCAATCATTTGCAAGATAAGCTTTTTGGACACGTGTACTTGGGACTTCCAAGGAGTGCATTAAGAACTTTAATTCTGGGGAGAAATGGGGTTAAGGTCAGAAGCTACAACTTTACCGGTCGTCTCTCTATAGCCCAGAAATGCTAGTCTGTAATTAGAACTTCTCAAAGTTAAACATTGTTGTCCCGTCTCGACGTGTTTCATTGGTTGAATGTCAGAGGTATAAACACAAACACACAAACAGGATGTAAAAAGACATTTAGGAAGGAGGCCACCCGGTCATTTATGTAACTCAATGAGTCCATCTGGTGGCTGTTAGCGGGTCTGCCATGATGTCATCGCCCAATGAGTCGCCACCAGAACGTTATCCGATGAAAGGAAAAAAAAAAGGCGGCTTGTTATGAACTTCAAAAAACAAGACATTGACAGTAAATAAAATACATTTTAGTAAAAGGTTTTATTCAAAAGCGTCCCAAATACAATCCTATATCATATCTTACAAATATCTTGAATACACAGAAATTGGGGACAATGTTGGTGGAAGTTTACAGAGCAACATACAAGGATAACAAACTTTGGCAAATGAGAAGACATTACCTCCAACTTTCATCCCAACCAAACCTCCTTAGACTTCCCTGTATTTGGACTCTTAGTTAGAGCTCAAAATATGTGAGGAATCAGCTGTGCTCTTAAAAACTGAGATGAAATGTTTTTTGTTTAAGTGAAATGATTGGACAACGTTACGTATTTATTTGAGATTTGTATAATCTAAAAGCTTAGTGCAGTTTCTCTTCATCAAAGCTTATCAGTTTCATTTGAAAATAAGGTTTCTCCAAACGTTCAATTTTTCCCTATAGATGGACTTGTGCAATACTTATTCTTTACAGTTCAGTCATAGCAACACAAATAAATGCTACAAAACAAAAATACAAGCCTACACATACATGACTATTAGCAATAAAGACAGATTTTCACATTAATGGAAATCAATGTTATCCTGCACACGCATGTGGTCAAATATTTTACCAGCTCTGTGCACCACGCGTCTGCTTTTCCCCCACACGAGTTCCACGATGGCCCTTTGCCTCTTTTGGCTTTGCACTTAAACTGATAGGTAGTTGCTTGATTCAGTGTGTGACAAAGCACACACACAGATTAGTTACAGACATGCTGAGAAGCTTCTGTTTTTTTGGAGTTCTTTTATACTTTGACGTTCCGTAAACGCAACACGAGGGTTTACTGTGAATGGTTGCCTCCAGATGTCATCGCCATCCCAAAGGTTACAAGGCCCGACAACAATGAGGATTATTCTGATTTCAAGATGGGACTCGATGTGGGGAACAAGAGAGGACCGGAGACGAGTCCACGTGCAGAGTAACTTAACTCTGCATCTTAGAGACGTGTCTTCTTCCAAGTGATGTAGAGCAAATAATAGAGTGGTGGAAAATAAACTACCAGACAATCTAGCATCAATGATCGTGCTTTGAACATGGCTGGTTTGTTAAAGACTGATTGGTTTAAAAAAATAATAATAATTATAAATCACAGAAAAACCAAAGAAAAACAAATTAACAGTCGTTTTGTTTTCCACTAGAACCGCATTATCCAACTAAGCACAAAGTGACATCATAAAGCATCAATAAATAAACGGGAAATTTCAATTACTGCACCTACTTTTTGTGAAAACCAATCTTCTGATAAGGCTGGCGTATTTGTTTTTACATTCATGGGAAGGAGACCGTTAACTAATACCACCTCGTGGCGCGGCACACCCGCAGCAGAGACACACAAGACACATAGTACTTGAACTGTTTTACAATCAAGCTAGAAAGGCACTGGAATTACACCACATTAAATTTCTTATGCTCTCAGTTATCCATCTTGAAAAAGGTAAAAATCTAAAAATCTTTTGTTGGACATCATTTATTTTTGAAAAATAAAGTTTGAAATACTAAAAAAAAAAATATTTTTTGCACCGTTGACTCATTTTAGCAAGGACAGTTTACAAAAAGTAATTTGCTATAAAAAAAAAATTAAAAAAAGGAAAAAAAATGCTAATGGCATTTTGGTTATCAAATGATTGACACTAAAATTCTTGTAAGAACATGAGGACATTAACTATAGTTTTGTGCAGAGGAGGTTGGGGGGGGCGTTTTTTGTTGAAATGCTTCATTAACCGCCGTGTGGCCCACGGCAAGGAAAATCCCACTAAACAAATATTAATTAGTGCTGCGGGATGGAGGGAAGAGGACGGACGGGGGAATAACAAAAAACCAAAGTAAACCAGAGAGAAAGGAGGCGGGTCACAGTGCTACCCATCCAGACTGGGGGAAGGGACAGCGCTACGGTTAACGGTGCCATCTTCCGTGGGTGAAAACAGCACTTATGGAAGTTATAGTCCTTGCTTGCTTTGCTGGGATAGGGGGTAAAGGGGGTGTTGGAAGGGGGGCGGGGTCATTGGATGTCCAGTTTGCTGTACTTCACGCCGCGGCTCCAATGCAACGATCGCCATGACGGCAGCTGATAGTTGCGAGGGACCGTGCCGTTGACGTTCTCCTCGAAATACTGGAACAGTCTGTACCACCAAACGCGTGAGAACAAATTGCTCTGTGACGTCTCCTTCAGCGTCTGAAACAAAACGTAAAAGACTAAACTAAGTGCAAAATCTAACGCACATGCACTTTACAGTTCATTTTTATCTTGGGAAATGTAGTTTGCATCATTCAGGGCCTGCGTTTTTTCTTGTGCACAGAGAGAAGTGGACAAGAGGAAACCACACGTTGCCCTTGAAAAAATCATTCACAGTACAATATCGCTACTATAAATAATAGGTTTATTCAGCTAATACAGGGAATTCAATACCTGTGAGTTAAAGTAGGCACATTTTGTACAATCAGGCATATTAAAAAGAAAGGAAATATAAATGTTCTGTTTGAGAAGAGAAGATCGCTAGCTACGTTAGATATGAAGCTATAGCCAGATTCAGATGACATGAGGAAAATAAAACCCTAAAATGAATAGCCCATCCCTGATCAAAGGTCTCCCTACCTTTTAACAAGTCATACCTAAATTGTTTAAATGTTAAATACAAATGTATACTAATACAAGTGTACAAACAGGGTGAAATGCACTTTAATGTTATCTAAGAAAATCAGTAATAACTAATTGCTAACCCTGTATTACAAGAATCATTACATTCCTCAATACCGGTGTGGGTTTCAAATGATACCAATTCAAAAACACATCATTTTAAGAATGATTCATTTCTACAAAATAATGTTACTTATTTGTACTAACTAATGTAACTTCAGAAGGTAACAAATTAAAATATGTAGATGATTAACAATCTATATGGTTGTACATTGCAGGGCCTTTGCAGCTGACAAAGTAGCTGACAAAAACAAGGACTCTTATATACACCTTTCTTGTGTATATACTGACATACAGGTTCTAGTAAATAAACCCCCGCGCCCACTTACCTTACCTGGTGTCTTTAGGTTTATATACAAGTTCCAACCGAGTAACATAATTTAGGTTGCATGTTGCACCTACCTGCTGGTTGGCCATAGTGTGGTACCACCAAAAGAGACGTGTAGTGATGAAGTATGCGACCACCACATCCACAGTGTAGTGGTCATGGGCCAGAAGGATGCAGAAAATCCCCACAGCGCTCAAGCTCCAGCAAAGCCAGTGGTACCACCAGAACCGCTTTGGGGAATCTGCCAGGAAACACATTAAAAAGAAAAACATGCAGAGTAAATAAACGAGAGACACGGGAAAAACCCAGCAACATCAATTCAAGGGGAAAATTCTCTTCAACAGCTAAATGGGGCATTAGGGCGTCAGCTAGCTGGCGATACATTTTGTTTGGCCTCGCATCGTCAGATGGGGCTCAGGGGCCCTTCTGGAGAAACAGACCTTTCCACCACTAGATGTCCCTAAAGGGGTGGCAAAAGCATTTGAGATGGGTAGTGATGTAGAAGAGTAAAAAAAAAAAAAAAAAAAAAAAAAAACTGTACAACACAACGCTTTTGAAATGTCACAACATCTACAACTTGACCGAGCCGTTACGATGCGGCGGACACGTGGGGATTAGCGGTGAGCCCACAGGGCGTTTTGAGTGCGCTAAATAAGTAAACGCCGGATGAGGAACAGAAAATGTGGGGGCACTGATACTAACGTGTCAACAGCTGTAAGGGAATAGGACACCATTTCCTCCTCATTTCCTGATACTAATTTTAGAGAAGAGCTGCAAAAGTATGGTTTTATTGGGAAGATGCAGATGCAGAGGATGAGTTAGTTCCTGATTCAATAGCTGTGAGCGCCGACTTGCTTACTTTTTGGCCTTTAGCTTTTAAATAGATCAGTTTTTTGACATCTCAACAAAGGTCGTGTGAACTATTTTACTGCAGTGGGAGTGTGGGAGGGGACGGTTGTCAAAATGATCTGCTGCACATTTGTAAACGCAAAAACTGACTCTGAAAAGGCAACATGGGCTTCATACGGCTTTAAACAAAAAAGATTCTTCTTTTTTTTTACATTCTTACTTAAATAGTCTAGATGCAGCAGAACTTACACTCCTTGATGAAGAGGTATGTTAGAGTCAACATGACGGTGTGGCCACTATACAGATAATCTCCACACATGGTGTGGGAGCCTGTGATGGATAGGCCTCCGCCGGCAATCATCTTCATTATCCTCCTCATCTGTACCTCCCAGTTCCCGAGAAGCTGAAAGAAACACAGCCAGTCGTTACAAAAGTGGAAAACCTGACAACATCACTCCCATCTGATAAAGAAGTATATGCTGTGCAAGTGTAGGATGAAGAGGAGAGCGCACAGCAGGACAGCATGTTAAGTGAGGACCTTTGCATCTGGATTCATCTGATGTCACGGCTCGAGTACAGTGGTGGTGGCAGTGTGTAGAAGTTTCCATTTCAAGACTGGAGGCCATGAATTGTTTCATGTCTCAGACTATTTTCTAGTCCAGTTTATCTGACTGAAAACAATGTTTCAAATGATTTCACAAAAAGAAAAATGGCACACAGCGGCTTTAAATAAAACTGCTTTCCCAATTGACTGTTTGCAATACAACAATAACGGGACCTACTGAAAAAGTGAGGCAGCCACTCAAGCTCGTCCGGGGGGGAGGTCACATTAAAGTGGACACGCACGTATTTTACAGTGGTCAGGGGAGAGCACTCCGAGGCTCTCAGCCCACAAAAGACAACTCTTTTTGCTAAATTTGCCCATTCAGCACCTTTTTGCCCTTAGCGGTAAGCTTAGGAAAGAAGGAAGCCTTTAATGGGGGGGTGAAATAAATGTGTGTGCGTGTGCATGTTTAATACCTTTGGAGAGCATTTGAAGTGCATGCCTGGAACAGGCAGAGTGGTGATGTACATTGTAATACACCGGTACAGATAGAGTGTGCCCACAACAAAAAAGAAGCGCCTGCCTATAATTGACCTGAGAAAAACAGACAGAAAAAACAAGAAAATGAATAACACGATCATATCGCTACATTTCAAATTAAAGAAGCTATGTAAACACACGCGCACACGCGCGTACCTGTGCTTGAGTAGAATCCACTGTATCAGCCAGAGTCCCACCAGCAGCATGCCGTTAATCTCACAGATGGAGAAGGCCCACTCCACCCGGTCAAACAAGTCAAAGAACTTATCGGGTAGCGGTGGGGTGTGCTCCTTGGGTGGTACCCTCTCGTGGACCACTGAAATGACGACAGTGGTGGTCACAAAGCACACCACCGCGTAGACAAACGCTATGCCAGTCTTCCCCCACTCGGCAGGGAACGACGGCCGCATAGTGTCACCCGCGGGAATGTGGATGTGGACCATCTCCCTCGTGGCCTTCAACCCGGCGCCGTTCCTCTGAGGCTTGCTAGTCCCGTTGGGTAGCCCACCGGCATGCCCGTTTGCGTGGCCATTTTTGTGAGCCTCGATGTGAGTCTCTATCCGCAGGGTCTCCAGTCGCTCCAGCAGCTGCTGCCCGCCGTCGGACGACACCAGCGAGATGGGCGGCATCTGGAAGTCGGCCTCGTTGAGCCGGAGCAGAGCGGGGCCGTCCCTCTGGCGGAGGGCGTCGACGTACTCCGGCATCCCCTCTTTGCTCAGCCAGTCAGAGACGTCCTCTGCAGTCCATGACGCCACCTTCTTCATCTTGGCCAGCGGGCAATGCGGAGAATGGGCGTCCTCAGACTAGGGTAAGTTCACTGGAGGCGGGGGGGTCTACGGGGCAGGGGGAGGTCCTCTCCGGTGTTGGCACATGGTGTGTCTTCCACCCAGAGGGAGCCCAGTCTCCTCTTGAAGTGATGCGGGGAGAAGGTAGGCCGCAGGGCCACTCTGGGTTGGGATTGGGGTGGAGGGGAGAGGGGGGGGGCCAAGGCCAACAGATTGCAGGTGAACCCCAGCGGCCTCCTACGGCTCTTCCCCCACACGTGCTGCAGCACTGTTAAAGTAAAAAGAACGAATGCTGTGAATCACAATACAGAACAACTGCAATATCCACTCACACAACTCTAAGGGGCGTTGAGGGGGCCTGAGTAGGGATACTCTTTGACAGCGCAGCATGATGCACGGGTCCTTTGGTCAGCTCGGCTCAACTGGAAATCCCAGAATTACTTTAAATCGGTTTCACAGATAAGAAACATGAAATGCATTAGCCACATCATTCTAAAGCTTAACAATAACAAGACGGACATGAGGACACAATCTGTCAGTAGGTTTCCCGTCTTTGACCCCTGCTCTGGGGACATCATGGTCAACTTCCTGGGTGAGTCAGCTTTTTTCCTTTTTTTTTTTTTATATACATGAGGCCTCTTTGTTGTGGAAGTGTCAACTTACACAAGGTCTATGTACAGTGGTGCTGTTGAACCACACGAATGAACGGTAGTGGTGCAAAGGATCACGAACCTTACAGTTCGCTACACGGATAACAATGTGGGGTCACGGTTCGGATCATTTTTCAGCAATGAAAAGGGGAGGAGTCAATATAACTATTCCTATACATAGTTTTACATAACATTATGATATTTATATTTCACAAAAACATTGAAGGTATCCAATTTGAAACAATTTTTTAAAAAATGAAACAAAATACAACTGATAATCTTTCCTCAATACTGAATAATCATTTGCTGTAATTAAAATAACTGACAAACATGAGCTTCTGTCGGTGAGGAAGCTGACCTTTGGCCCTCTGGTACAATACGGAGAGCCATTAACCATGTGTTGAACAGGTCTTTTGGTGGCGGTGCTATTATAGTTGTCTTTTAATGTACAATTTGGCACATGATGAGTTTCGGAAAGTGCTTCCTCGTAAAAGATACATCCATCTTTTCATAGAACAGTGTGGGAACTGCACTGCCATTTAAACTGAAGGCCTGAGAAAGTGACTGATGGGAAGACAAAAAAAAAAAAAAGGCTGAAGCAGTGCACCAAAGTTAACTCACCATGGCATATACTAATGCACGTTACTTCCCCTGTTAACAGTAAAACCGCAGCGTAATAATACATGTACATAGGGTTTCACAGCCTTTGCTCAATACTTGGTTGAAGCACCCTTTTGGCAGCAATTACAGCCTCGAGTCGTGAGTAGGATTCTACAAGCCTGGCACACCCATTTCTGGGCAGTTTCTCCCATTCTTTCTTGCGAAATGTGGAAACCGTTAAGAAATGTGTATACTTTCCAGATGCACTGCAAGCACGGCAGATATCTAAACGGTATTTATCTCCCCCGTTCTTTCACTGACCAATTTTGAACTTTGTTTTCCAATGTGTGCGTTCTCATCCGAGCTTCAGGCAACAGGGGATGAACCCACACATCTGCTGCACATCATGCGTTTGTTTATAGCCTGTGGTGTCAGCGGCGGACACAGGGTGGCCCAGCTGGTGTTCGGGGGAGTGCGGAATACAACTGGAGGCTGCGCCTGATAAACCGCACGCATACGAGGACAGGGAGGGGAACCGGACTGCGAGAAAGGAAGCCATAAATCAGAGCGAAGGTCAGCAGCGAATACGAAGACAGGCCCCATCCGCGTCGAGAGGGCGAGCAGCCAGCAGCACAGCCAAACCAGCTAAGGTCGACGACAGCTAAACACACTGGTTGGCACGACAACAGACTGGAGATCAGTACCTCATCTCGCCCCCGGAGGCCCGTTCATTTGGGTCAGCGAAGCGGCGCTAAATTAATTAAGAAGACGGGGGCTCACGTGTCTCAAATAAAATAAAATAAAATAAACAGTCGTTTCTGGGAAAACTTGGCTCCTCCCACCCAGCGTGCCGTTGTGACGCCGGCCGCAGAATTGCGACTGATTTACTGGCGATTGCCGCTGCCTGCCACAGAGTTGCCACTCACTTGCCACTGCCACAAGGAGGATCTCGGCCCTACTGAACACCTGGCGCCAGAGACATTCTCACAGAGGTCCGAGGAACAACATTGAACAAATAGCGCCAACTGTACTCAACAAACCCCAAAGAGCAACATGTAAAAACAAACATATGGATAGCGATCAAACGGCACAGCAGGAGAGTCTTTATGCAACAGCTAAGCTACGTGACGACCCGCCTTAGTGTGCGGCGGGGAAAAATAGATCCGATTTAAGTGGAAACAAAACGAAAACACAAAAGAGACAAAGAGCACTGACGTCGGCCTGCTAACAGTATTGGATTGAGACAGATCGGAGATTAGCGGTCACCGAGTCAGCTGTGTGCCGAGGACCTTTGGTCAGTGAATCAGCTTACAGCGTGCTCTGTGAGGGGTGGGGGTCCAAGAAATGGGAAAAACAGGATAATCCTGAAGCTAATGAAATGTACCTGGGGATCTCAATACCTTGCTCCGCCAGAGAAATCTTACATATGAGGATTAACATGAGAGTACAATTGCATGACAATCATCATCGTGTGGAAAATCTTTGTGCTGCAGTGAACCAACACCTCACGAGCACGTACGTAGCAGGCTATGAAGAAATGCTTTCGCACCAGTTGCAAAACACACGGAGGGGGGGGGTCTTCTAAACACTATTGTTTGAGGACAGAGGACCGCATGAAGCAAAAAGGAAATTCTGCTCCTCCCGCAGCCCTCAAGATGTTGTGAATGTTGATACAAGATAAGACATTGTCGCCGTTCAGTTTTGTCTGAGCACCACTGCAGGACTTGCTCAACCCTAACCCCCTAACCCACTTTGAAGGGGCCTTGTGGAGCGTTCCTGTACACAAGATAAAGATAGTTTACGTTCAGTGTGTCCTTGCGCTCTAACAAAATGAGCAGAGTGCATTTTCTTACCATCAACAGATTGTTTTTTGCTGAATTATATATTCGGCATAGTTTACATTCTGTTCATTAGTCCTCCTCTTCCTCTTGGTTTGTTGATGAGAGCTGGAACTCTTTGACAATCCAACATTTACTCTTATTTCAACTGAAACAAAACGTTGTAGTTTAGCATTAAACACATGCTTGAAGTAGATCCTCAGTTTGTTTCATGTCACCACTTCCTGCGTTCACATCTCTCCCTGGGCCCCAAACACACACACACACACACACACACACACACGAAATTCAGTAAGGTGGTAAACCATACCAGTCTTACAACATCAGCTGTAATATTTAACTCAATTCTCATAAACACAGCATGCTTTTCACATCTACAGCATGTCAGTGCTTGAGCTGGCCGCTACACCGAAAACTCAAACCTGTATAAGAGCTCTGGGGTATGAATAAATCATAACTGTATTGAATATTAACTGCATTCAATGGAGAAAAAAAAAAAAAACGAACAGACGTTAAATTTGTTATAGCATCATATGTTTGACCCGAGAGTTGGGGTCAACCTCAATAGATTCTGATCAGATGAGAAGATTTTAGTTTTTGAATGTTGTTTTAACAAAAGAAGCAGTTTGAAGACATTGCCGTCTGTAATTGCTGTCAACATTTATTCATGTGTGTGTATATATATATATATTTTTTTTTAAGCTTTTGCCAGGCTCAAAGTTTGATGCTGACTTCTGTGTCCCAGTATAACCTGCCATGTATGTGGTTTAATCTAAATGTTTGACCGCTCATGTTGGATGCAAATAAATATGCCTTGAGCGATCTCTTTTTTCAGTTTGCACGACGGGTTTCTTGCCAGTCAGTTTTACATTTAGAGAATGATCCCATCTGTTCCCATCAGCACCCACGTGATAGTTTTAAATCCTTGGTTCTGCTCCCATGTAGACACACTTAATGGTTCGGTTTATACCCCCCCGCCTGGAGGCAGTGTTCTGAACACTCACTAACACAGTCCTGCTAGTAAAGGAGCTAAACGCTAATGCTAACAGAAGTTCCATTGACTCACATCATGATGTAAAGATCATATTGAGCCACGGTAATCAATCTGCTATAATGGTTTGTTAATCTTATAAAATCAAGCTGAAAGCTGTGAAAGCGATGTTTTCACGGCATCATAAAATAGATCTTAGAGAAGGGATTATAACCAGACTGATTTGAGCAATATCAAAAATATGTTTGACAATTGGTATAACAAAAAAAAGGAAATATATAAAACAAGTAATCGATGGCAATATTTCTATTCCTATAGTTAACTGGAATATATGTATGTAAAGCTTTTACACAAAAGAGACTAAATATTTGAACAGAGAACATATGACAACGCAGAAGCAGCAGAGTCCGTCTCATAAAAGAAAACAAAGATCATCCTTTTAAATGAATTATTTTTTTGCCCTCTCCCTACCTTGTGCAGTCAGGGTGTTGTCCTTTTAGTCTTCATGTAGTTTAGAGAAGTATCTCCTTCCCGTTTATTTCATTTTTGTCTTTTAACGGAATACTGACACCTACAGCAAACCAACGACGGACAGCGCAATGCCAATATTTACACAACTGGGCGAGCCTGGTTCAGGTGATTACGGTTCAAAAATTAACTATGTAGGTTCCGGCTTGCGCAGTAGGGTAGTCGTTCACTTGTAAACCTTTGGTGGAAATGGTTCATCCAGCCACCTAGGCAACAGGACATCCAGAGCATACCTTGTTTCAACTATTCGGGAAGGACAGACCCGATGAAACGGCATTTGGCTTCAGTGAACGCAGAGGAAAAGAATGATCCGCGTGGAATGTGCAGCATTTTAGGAATTTTTAAGTGGTCAACTCTACTACCACAAACATACTTGCTACAAACTCATACAAATGTGTACAGTAAACAGTCAAAACGATCACTTCGCAGGATCAACTCTATGATATGTAGAAGAAAGTTTAGTATAGGGAGTTTTCAATAGGGGGGGGGAGAGAAATTTAACACAGAGGTTTGATGACGGCCTTGACTTTGCACGATTAACGTGAAGTAGCACAGTTATTGTGAAGTAGAACCAAAGGCAACAAGGTCTCATATTAATGCGTGTCGGGGAATAATCAATCTGTTGGCCGTTAACAGCTCAAATCACACGTTACATAACAGCCGCCCACTACAGCCGACAAGTATCGCACTTCTAATTTTGTTGGAAAAAGTACAATACAGTTGTGGTGGGAGGTTGACAGCTGATATCAGCAACATTAAAAAAATAAAAAAGGATTACAAGTAAAACATGTGTGTGGACTCATTCAAGTGTGATCACTCCCTAATGGACTGGGTTGGTTTCCGATGTTGTAATATTTTGACACAAAATGAGTTATTTCCATTAAATTGGCCATGTTAGTTTTTTTATCTTACAAAAGCAAATGCACACTTGGATCCCGTCATCGTTAATCTCTCCATCAATGACGTTACAGTTTATGAAAATATTGCCACATGTTCGCATACTGGCATGTTACAAAAGCACAAGCGCAAATCTGTCACTACAAGGAGAACACGGATACTGTTAAAAAAAAAAATAATAATAATAATAATAATAATAATAATAATAATAAATTATAGTCTGAAATAAACCTTTGAAATGTAATTTATCAGAAAGAATACAGCCACTTTGCTATCACAGAAGCACTTTACGTCCTATCAGCAGGTTGATCAACAGAGCACACAGTTAACCAAAGGTTAGGATGAGACTGGCCATAAAGCACGGACGGGCCTTTGTTGGAGCCGAGTTTAACGGGTACAACGGCCAGCGCGCCGGCAGGTGACATCTGCTAATGAGAGAACCACTTGTGGCTTTATGAGTCACTGATGATGGAAGCGAGGCCCTTGGAAGCCCAGGGGACGGACTGAACTTGTGCTCAGCTCATGTGGTGCAGAGCCATCACCAATGATACGTGGCGTCGCACGCAAGGGACTAACAGTCGTCGGAGAGCAATTAGCGCACATTCAGCCCGTCTCTTCACATATAACAACTTAAATCTGTCAACAAGACAGACAGATTCAGACTTGCAATTACTTTACATGTTGGTGCAGAAATATGCGATTTGCCTAGGCAAAAATTTGTAGGGCGGAGACACAATACCTGTGTTCCTTTACTAAACTGGGAAATCCTTTAAACCCAGCAACAGAGGCAAAGTTAAAAAGGTGCAACAGTGCAGCGTTTTCTTACTTTATCATGACCGAGCCATCTGCGTTAACCGCCATTTGACCTCAGTGCAGAGAAGCTAGTGGTTCGAACAGTGGGGGCACACATACTTGTTCTCACGTGCACTCACATGCACGTGCATGGCCTAGCTGCATAAACAAAGCACAGAGCAGACAGCTCACCACCAGCCCGAGAGTTGGGATTTTTGATACGATTGATTGGCTGGAATTCAAGAGCAAGGAGTTGAGTTTTAACCAAGATTTCTGGGTTTATTTGACCCGCGTAATTTTCACATTTAGAACTCTTGCGCTATGAGGCGTTGGTTCATCCGGAACCAGTCATCTCTAATCGATGCACAAAATGTTGCATCATTTAACTTTGAAGCTTGAACCAGGCGTAAACAAAAGAGTAACCACCAGTAGCACAGTATCTTGTACAGTCCCATATAGTAATAAAGAAACGCGCTTTCCACTGTGAATTAGCATGAGGACGTAATTCTGCACAAAGAAGCACATCAGCACACAAATTGGGGTGGGTGGAGTCAGCGAGTAAACAGGACGGTGAACAGACCATCTCATGGGACTCCTTTGGCCCTGCTTTATAAATTTGTATATTTTTCATGTGTACGCTTTGAACAGACACGCTTGTGAGCACAACATGAAGATGGCCTGCCATTGCCCAGAGTCACACCAGCCTTCCTTGATGTAGAATTATGTTGAATTTTGCCTTTAAAATAGGCCAAAGCATGAACAAATTAGGTCAGGAACAGGTCTACAGCTTCCTGGGTATTTATGTATGCAATAGTCACATTGGTGTCCCGTTATTGACGTCAAACATCCTGAGGAACTTGATTAACATAAGAATGCAGGTGTACATGTTAGGACAGGGGGGATACCCCGCTCAGGTGTAAGCAAAGCTAAACAACAGTACAAAACAGAAAGGGCCAGCTGGCACTACGTAACATTCCTTCCCAACTCACTCCACACCCTCGCCTTATCCGCATAAATTGGTCGTGGATACCTTGATTTCCTAGTGCAACGTTAAATACATATCTTTTCCATTTGTCAAGGCGTTCTATATTAGTTTTAAAGTCTGTTTGGCTCCTCCATTTAATCAAACAAAGCTCAGCAGGAAGTGAGGGGACATTGGATCACTTGCGCTTCTGGCCTGCAAGTAGAATAAAAAAAGTCAACATTGTCTTCTTTTTTCAGTGATTTACAAATACACAAAATAGGCTACAAAGTTCTACTAGCCTAGATTTCCTAGAAAAAGTAGTTGTAGGCCACAGGAAACTGGGACATCATGTGAAGAGAGTTGAAACTTCATGTGTTTCTAATTATGGCAGAAACATGATTAAAGGAACTGCTTACGATTTCTCTGGAGGCAAACCTCTGACGAAATCGAATGATGAGTGGCTGTTGTCCAGCACTCACATCGTAGTACCATTCAGTAGAACAACAAACAGGCCAAAGCCATCAGCTAATAGCATTATACCCTAGCTGTGGTTTGAGTACGCTGCAGTGACGCAGACATTTTCAAAAATAAAAAGACGTACCTGTATATCTAGGGTCAAACAATTTTAAAATTGGCCAAACACTGGCACAGTACTTTCCTGACTACGTATCTGCTGCGGTTTTGTCTATTCAAAAACAAACCAGTGCATGATACAATAACATAAATATTGGGGTAAACTTTATCAATACCAACCCACCTAACTGCTAGTGAAATTGACATTTTGAATCCATTGATTCTTTTTGTCAAACAGAAATACGAGTTAGCTTTGAAATCTTATATCTGAAGCTCTATCTAATTCATTGGTCATAAAAAGACAACTCATTCTAATGTCATAAATTAATCTGCAGCTTATGGAGGTAGCAAAAAGCCTGTGTAGAATCAGAAGTATCCATCTAGAATTACACATTTTAAATCACTTCCTAAATTAAAAACTGAATAAAAAAGGTTATGAAAAACACTTTCTGAAAAAATAGGCCATTCCTCTAAAGCACGTGAGTAACAGGTTTCCAGGGGAAGTTGGTGATCGGAGCGAATGTTGGCAAATGGGTTGTCATCCGCTTAAGACACTTTTCCATGGGGGAGTCATTGCCTCGCCAACAGAAAACGCCTTGTTTCCACTTGTTGATGGTCTGACATGCTTTGCTTTGGCAATAAGGCTTCCTCAGCAACCCAGGCTGGATGCCTTGGTGACAATAACCCCCATTGAAGTCGTTTTTTTTGCCCACTCACTGCAGCCATACAGTTTGTGTATGTGAGAAGTTGCTTTCTCACCGGTTCCGATGCACAGACAACCCCTCGGTTTTGTTTGAGTCAATGTCTCTTTTGGCTCAACTGCCTGTCCGGGGTTAGTTTCACTGTGGATCTCAGGTTAAGCGGGCAGATATAGCACATAGCAACACCATATGCCCCGACAAACAGGAATGGTGGGGGGGGAAGACACACAACTGTCTAAACATGTCTGTGTCTCATCAAGTGACCGTTTAAGAAGGCGGGTCACCCCGTTGCGCCCTTTTCTTGCACAAATCAAAATATAATACAAAATACATAAGTCATGGTCAGCGCGAAACAAACCAAAATGTTGTGCTACCACTAATACGCGAGGTCCATGTGTACCGAGACCGCGGAGGAGAACACATTAGCGGGTTTGCCGCTGCGGTAGGAGGCGCAGCTGCGGGACGGCGTTACACAGGAAACATGGCTGACACAGGTGGCCTCTTCGCGTGCCTGAAACAGACACGAGCCACTTGTGCCACACTCGGGTCGGCCGCCGCAACGTGCGGCTCAGCCGCTTAGTTTCACCACACTAAATATAGAGCAAGCTGGCGTCTTCGGTATTTGAGCTAGCTAGCCTCGGTCAGCCGGGGGTTGTTGAGTTTGGGGGGGGGGAGGTTTACGGTCAGCTAACCTGGCGTTACATTATTGTCGGTTACAAAGCAGATTTATTTGTAGCATAAATATTATGTTTGATCCGGTTAAATAAACAACTAAAACGAAAACAAAAAAATCAGTTTATCGCGAAACGAATGTAGCCTTTCTACCAACCGCGTTGTATCGGGATTAACGATAACGGGAGACGGCTTCTCTCGCCAACATTAAAAAAAATGTTTCCGCGGAAGGCCAGTGAGCAGCATTAACGTGAAGTTGACGTTAGCTAACGTTACATTCGGTACCGGAGTCAACGATCGGAGGGGGGGTGGCGGGCGTCTGTCGAGCAGCGCGTACCGGGCGCAATTTCAGGGGGAAATTATACAACACAACGGTGTTTACATTAGTTTGCGGTGCGGCATTACACGGTAACTAACAGTTCCCAATACCACGACTTTGAGCCACAGCACTAACGTTAACCGAAAGCAGACCAGACGTTAGCTACCTAACACAGCGCCGAGACAGCTTAGCGGGTGGCTAGGTCTGCTATTGACAAAAGAGTAGTAACCACGAGAGTAGTTTAATTACCTGAAATGGTACGGGCTTCTCTTTAAATCGTAGAGTTTACCACCACGCTCTGGCGTTAACCCGTCTGTGGTTTTATCCAGTGTTTTCATGGGTAGGCGGTTGGGACTCGAGAAGCTGGGAGTTTCCTTCACGCCGTCAGCCGCGCTGCCTTCAGGTACCGTCGGCGACGAGGCGCGTTGCTTAAGTGCCCGTGTGAAAAGAAAAAGTTGGCATTCGGTGGGACGGGTTCGCAACAACACAAACTAGAAAAAAAACATATGAACAAAACACCACGTTGTCATTTCCTTTGTTTTTGTTTAGGGAAGAAAGTGGCAAAAGACACATTTAGACGCCCGTGCTAATACGGTGTAGCAAAAGAGGCGTATTTGAATGCAACAACAACTACGAAGAAAATGCAGCGTTGGAAGAGCGCTCATCTCATCTGAAGCCATCTATTGGTGAAGGACTGAGAAGACATTACATTTTAGTGTAATGTATGCTTTAAATCGGTAGCTCTAATCTGACTATAACAATTGAAGGATTATAATTTGTAAATCAGAAGCTGGTTAAAATATTCTACTGATTAGTTTATTAGATCAGGATATTACACTGTATATTTTCTTTGGGGGGCTTTACCAAAATTCAGGAGGAATAAGGGAACAATGGGTCATATAAAACAATGTACAAAATGTATTTTTCCCAGGACAAAAACAAAGCAAAAATGAGTAAAACTTGTAGACCTGTAGCTTGACAAGCAAGTGTGTGATTTGCCACAAAGTTGTGAATATAGTACAACAAAACAGCAAATAATTGTAGTAAAATAAATAAATAAAAATTATAGTAAATGTCAATGTCCCACAATCAGACAAAAATCTTAATATATATAAAGTAAAATCTTCTTCAAATCATTACTCTGGACAATAGGCTGTTGTAAAACAATAACACTCATAATCAGATCTACGGCAATTTAATTATTGATACATTCCTTTTTTTTAGTGCGCAGTGGTGTTGTGGGCGGACATTTACAATCCTAAAAAGTGGATGTTTAAGAGGATTTTAAGTTTTTGTCAGGACTTAACAAAGGTCCCTTTTTAATGATTAGTACACTTGAACAAATTCTCCTCATTTGGTCAAGATGTTTTTGATAACACTGATCAGCTAATAATGCCTGATAAGACAGGAAAATATAGTTGGCATAGTGACTTTTACTACCTCTTAAAATCAGATAAGATCAATAGGATTTGCCTTTTTGCTGTGTAAAGCATGATTGACAGCAATTAAACAGACAAAATCCTCCTGGTTCCCACTCTGTTAAAGTTTATAATGGATTTAGGCAGCGTAGGAGACCTTCAGTCTGATTTTCTTGCGCAAACTAAACCAAAACTGGACTTTGAATATTAGGAATTCATGAATCATCATAACTGGTAAAATTGGATGGGACACTGAATAATCAGTAATTAGAGAAAACATGTTAAAGCCAATTCCTATTCTGATAATGCTTTCCGATAGATATAAACATACTTTCTATATGACATCATGTGAATAATCATGTGAAGTTGAATATGAACTCTTTTGCTGGGAAAACAACAATTAAATGTGGACTAAAGTGAAATGCACTTATACAACTGAATATCTACGCAACAGTAGAAGCGACAGATAAGTGAGCTGATGCTCCATAGTGACTCATCAATAATGTAACGTGGCTATTAAAACTAATAACAAAAGGGAGAACCGTGAATCTTCACAACAATGCACTATATTCTACACAAGGACAGATTTTACTCAGATATTCATGCTCCGACTTGAGTTCTTTGAATGAAAGCTCTGTGGTTAATAAAAGTAAATAAAGCGAAACTACATTAACTGTAAAGGGTATAAAAAATGTCTCACTCTTACATATCAGTGACACTCTATGAAATGAATGCATGATGAACAACAGGACTTGGAAGTAGAGTGTTGATCTCTCGTAATATAAACAGGGCATCCTCCCATTGACATATAAAGGAACTGAAAATGTAACAAACCTTTATAATGTGACAAGATTTATTTCTGGTGTATTTATTTTTGTACTGTATATATTTTGACATTATCAAACCACTTCTTGAGTGCATCATGCATTCCTTTCCTTGGAAATTCATAATCTTTTGTTTCCTCGTCTTCTCTCGCTGTTTACTTATTAATGTAAATCCTAGGGAAAATCCAGATACACCAGTGATCTCTAAATATTTCAACGCAAAGGGGAAGTACGAGGAAGTGAAACCGTATCTCACAGAGGACATATATACTTGCTGTGAACAAATCCACCCTGCAGCCTATTTCAAGGGAAGTCGCTCAGAGGTGGATTCATCATATTCATAACCAGCTCAAAGCCTTAAAGTCCTTCAAGGCCGGACTGACAGAGCTGCGGGCCACCAAAGGTAAAGCGACGATCGGCTAAAATGTATGGTGATACCCAACGCTGTTCATTCTCCATGTAACCCATCGCCTTTTTTCTACCCAGACAACGAGTTTGACCATGCAGTGAACGATGCCCTCATGAGGTTTGCAGTGCACCAGGTTTGTGCTCGAAGTTGATAAGAGGCCCGCGGCTCTGTCAGAAGTAGACAAGTTCAAGTAGGGTTCTGAGATGAGGAGGGTCACGGAGAAGATCGCAGACCGGCTCAGGGATCCTTACAGTGACATCACAAGGTCACATCAGCAGAAGCACTGCCTTTTTATTGTGTTAATGTGTGTCTTAACTTATTAAACATGTATATTAACTCCAAAGAAATCATGCTCAGTGATTCTATACACTGTTTTCTGTAAAAAATGGCTGTTTAAGTACTTTAAAATGGGTCCCAGGTCTACTAGAGGACCTTTCATTCAGCATAATGGCCTTTCCTTGTCAATTAACTAAATTGAATCTTTGTCACAGACTGACACAGATTTAAGAAACAATTATTCATTGAACTAAATACAAATAACCATTAAGGTATACTCAGTATTGGGGAGGATATTCTGTAGAACATGCCAGTACTCGTGTTGAGTTAATTTAGAAGCATTGAGGCTTCCGCCCGCTTCCTTTCTAATCAATTATACTGTTGTTGAGTGTATTTCTTTCTGATTTAGCCTGTTTTAGTGGATGTCCCTTTTCACAGATTAAACAACTGCATTCCCTTCAATCTTCAAATCTACTTCTCTGAAACTAAAGCACATCTGTGACGTGTATTAGACTGAATGTGAATGTTTATTCACTGCTGAAACAAGTTCAATTCTTGAACTTTGGAACCAAATAGGCTGCTGTTTCACTTCATATATCTATAGAACAGGCGTGGCAAATAAACCTCCACGTCTAGTCTAGTTTGGAGGTACACAGCACCCTCAACAGGACTGCAGATGCAAATTAGCCTAAAGCTACAATTGTGCACAGTTCATTAAAGTTTTTAATAATGTCTAATAATGTCTTACTGCTTCTTTCTAAAGAGTGTCCAAACAAACAGAAAAGTCACAACGTGTTCCATCTCTGTTTAGCCAAATCATCCATTCACTGAGAAACACTGCTTTTTGAAAACAACTGTTGGAAACAATTGTTTCCTGGTTCTTGGTAAAAGTTCTATTTGGAGATTTTTTTCTTTTTGAAGCCTTTGTGTAACCTCCACACAAACACACACACACACACACACGCACGTGGTTCCATGTGAACTTTCTGTACCACTTCTGAGGGAAGTCAAGCTGCATTCTCTTCCATGATGTGTTTAACCGTCTGCGGCAGCCAGTGTGAGCAAGTGAGTGAGCTTTAGAATGACCTTCACATTCTGTACAACTGTGGGTTGTGGTTGTCAAAGACTAGCGGGGAAACCCTCAGGGCAATAGATGAAATACGTTTTTATATGCTTGTCCCCTAGTTTTGGTTGTTTTGCTTTTTATCAAATGGGTCAGTGGTATAAACTTTAGTCTCAATTATGGCTGTTAAAATGTGTCTTTAAGCAGATAAAGACGGGAAATAACTCTGGTATAAACACTTGTCGAGCAACCCAGACTTGCTTGGCTAAAGATTTCATATATATCTGATTTTAGGTAGTGTTTCTGTCTTATATTGTGTTTTACCGACGCGTAATTGTGTGAAAGAAACAATGTTGAGTTCTGAACCCCATGCAGTGTTTTTTCAGGTTGGGGAAACAGGTGACTGTAGCTGTGACAGTCCAGGTTGACCATGCAGAGACTGTCCTGCCGCTGCTCACCCTCCTGCAGGGCCTCTTCAAGGACATCGATGCCTTGACCCCAAGCCTGTGACCTTCCCTGGATTGCAGGCCCCCGTGCCGCTCTATCAAGATGTCAAGGATCGCTACAGGGAGCTGCTCTTTGACTTCGAGACTGAGTGTCTGTTTAAGAGTCCCGCTTAATTCAAAGTGGCCAGGGTAGATCCTGTAAAAGAGGCTGACCTTTCCTTTGGTAAACAAAATTAACACACGCTCCTACAATAAAAATGTTAGTATTTGAACGAGCATTTTTCTGATGCTAGTGATTTAAATATGGAATTTAAATATATTTGTGTTCTTTGAACAACTGAAATAAAAAATTATGGAATAACAAAATGTGTTTTATTTTTGTTTTTCTTCTCTCTTTCAATAAAAACAACTATGATATAGAAAACTGATGGTAAAACTTAATTCCTCTTATATCTGGAACTGTCTAACATGTTATATGTTACCACAATATCATGTTTCTTTTTACTTTGGAATTTTACCAGTCGGTTGACTTGTAACATCTAAACTGGCCAGGCCGGAAAAGATGTGCAGACATTTTTTTTTATTTAGATACCAAAGAACTTACTTTTATTTGAAACAAAATAAAAGGCAATATCAAATGGTAGGATCAGTGTACTAAAAACTAGCTCCAGCTGTAACAGTAAAATGCTTGTCATGTCATAACTATGTCATCACATATCAATCCCAAGTTCTTTCAGTTTGAAATTAATGTCGGCTTGACTACTTGAATGCTTTAGTTAGACTACTAAACCGTGTATGTCTGCACTGTGTCGTTACTGTTTTCACCAAGGGAGTAAAGTGCACGCTGCCACGTGACTACAAGCGAGCAATGTCCGCGATGAGACAGGCTGCAGTCAGACGGGCCGTGCGTAACGGATTGGCTGGACAGTCCCGCACGCACCACGTCACCCGGGTTGGGTTGGTGTCCGGGAGTGCACCCGGCCACACGAACGAGCTACCTGTCCGCACCATGCCGATCGCTTTCGGGAAAATCACTTTCCTTCATTTGGCCGTCACAACGTGCTTTTGCGGTGGCTTCCGAAACGACTCAAACCCCGGGGACAATCCAAACATACCGGCCATCGCCAAATACTTCAGCACGAAAGGGAGGTACGAGGAAGTGAACCCGCATCTCATAGAGGACATTCTCGCCGTGAACGCCTCCATCCTGCAGCCTCCGTCCGAACAATGTCGCCGCGTCCATCTGACCGCCATCATAAGACACGGGACGAGGTACCCGACGAGCAAAAACATCAAGAAGATGCAGACGCTCTACGAGGTGGTTCGACGCAAAGCGTCCGGCGAGGAGAGCTGGCTGCGTGAGATCCAGACCCAGTGGACCATGTGGTACAAGGAGGACATGGACGGCCGACTGGTCCAGAAAGGTGTGGACGACCACAAGCATCTGGCCGTCAGGCTGTCCAAGCTGTTCCCCTCGCTGATTTCAGAGGAGAAGCTCAGAGGCGGATTCGTCAAATTCATAACCAGCTCGAAGCACAGGTGCGTCAACAGCACGCTGTCCTTCAAGGCCGGACTGACGGAGCTGTGGGCCATTACAGGTACAGCCACCATCCGCTAGAACGTACACAGCACATTTCAGAGAGTTATATTGACTCTGTGAGATTCAATTTGAACTCTTAAGCTGGTGTTTATATTGTCCCTATCTTGGCAGTGTTAAATCAACACTCAATAAGTGTCAAAAATAAATCTGCCCAGTGTTAAAATACATCACATGTCATATGGCTGACACGTTTATCCAAAGCGACTTTCATTGCATTTTTAACCCATGGTTGTTACATTTTAGTCTGGGTTAGGTGTCTTGCTCAGGGACTCTTTGACATGGGACATGTAGCAACCGGGGTGTGATGCGCCAACCTTGTGGTTCCTGGCTCACCCTCTCCAATCCATGCGCCACAGTACGTAGAGTTAAACCCGACACCAAGAAGTCTGACACTGTACAGTTACATTTCAAACCTATCAAAGAGTTCATTTAACTCTACTAAGTGTCGCAAATGGATCTGATCTGGACACTGGATAACACACGCTGGTACAATTGACTCTGTAAGAGTTGCAGTGGGATTTCAACTCTGCACTTCAACACTTTTTCCCAACACCGGAAAATTAACTCTAAGAATTAATTGGGAATGGCGATACCCAACGCTGTTCATTCTTCATATAACCGGTCGCCTTTTTTCTACCCAGACGAGGAGTTTGACCATGCAGTGAACGATGCCCTCATGAGGTTTTTTGACCAGTGCACCAGGTTTGTGCACGAAGTTGATAACAACCCCGCGGCTCTGTCAGAGGTGGACAAGTTCAAGCAGGGTCCTGAGATGAGGAGGGTCACGGAGAAGATCGCAGACCGGCTCAGGGTTCCTTACAGTGACATCACAGATGGTCAGTGGTGAAGGAAGTATTCAGATCCTTTATTTCATAATAACCAATTTGTAACTACAACATTATATATAAAGTATATATCTATAGATGTACATTGTAAGGTCCCATACCATCCCTTATCACGGGCAACTCAGGTAATTCGCTTCAAACAAAAAAAGTCCATCACTCAAAATAAATCTTTCCGGAGGATAAAACGATTCCTTAATCAAACAAAAATGTAGCCCGGCTGCGTGCCAGTTCCTCCATGTCGTGGTCCTTCCTGCACGTTTCTTCCTCGTACGTTTCTTCTCACCTTCTCCGGGTCCGGCCTTAATCTCGGCAGCTGCCTTTCTGGTAGTCCAGCTATGATGGCATTTCATTAGAATTTATTTTATTGGACATGGCAATGTGTGAGTAATATTTAATGTTTACAATTTACTGTAAATGCTTGACTATAAGAGACAAATATGTATAGCGGTGGCCTAGAAGTGGTAAGTAGCATAACATAGAAATGCCAATGTAGTTTAGGTGTATATTAAACCTTTATTCAAGTACATCAAATCAAGGAAATGTACTAGTTTTATTCTATCACCTGGAATAGTCAGATTTGTGACAATCTTTTCCAATGCTTTGCTATTAATTGAACTGTGTGCGTAGTACTCTAATTAATTTACTCTTGATTTCATTTTAAGGTCCAAAGTTTCTTGAATGGATAAATATAACTGAATATGGATCCCAGGTCTGTTACTGGCAAACAACCAAAAGAAAAGAGCTTCTCCTGCTTGGCACAATTTTATTGAATGTATTTGTCCCATTTCTCACAGTAAATTGCGTCTTGCACTCCTGTATCATTCTAATCTGACAAATTATATGTAAATAGCTCCAACAATTTCTACAGAGAAAATAGACTAACATCACGAATATTCAAGATTATACACAATTGCTGAATATTTCCCTTAATATATATATATATTCCTTAAAACAATGTAACTGTAAATTAATTATTATTTTATTATTGAAAACTTTGTTTCCATAGACGAAAAAAATAGAAAGTTATCCTACCATCAAATGTTTCTGACGTACATCTGGTCCGCTGTGCAATAACTAAAACTATGTTTTGCAATTGAAGACGGTCTCCATTTTCACATAATTACCTTCTTAAATGCATCTAATGCCATTGAACACAACAATTAGCTGTAACTGATGTATGATAGAAGCGGTAAAGTAGTCAGATCTGAGGTGAGCCATTTGTATTTCACACACGGTGTGTGTACAGTAGATGGAGCTGTTTTCTAATTTGATTGAATCAGAGCTCCGCGAGACTGAGCTGTAAGCCAATATTGACTCCATTTGTAGCTTTGAAGAAGGACCACAGGCTTCAGAGCCATACACACACATGTTTAGCATCCTGTCTGATTATGACTACTTATCTACATTTTATTACTGCGACCCTTCTCCTGCAGATATGGCCGAAGCCGCATTTTATTTGTGTGCTTATGAGTTTGCCATCAAGACTGTGAACTCTCCCTGGTGTCGGCTTTTTGACGAAGTTGATGCCCAGGTAAGGCCCTGTCCTATTTAAAGTTTGGAATGTATTAATTGCAGGTGAGATTCCTTCCTGATGGTTGGAGGAGAGGTCATGCATCAGTAACTTGATGTACTTCAACTCAAGTTACTCTTTATCCTTATCTTAATTTACTGGCCTTTAGTTTGTAAAGAAAGCAGCAGGGGACGGTTTGCCACGGTGTTCATTCATGGAGAAGCCGTGGCACAATAAATTCCACAAAGAGGGCTTCGTGTCTCATGTTACGAGATGACCTTAGCACTCAGGAAGAGTAAAACGTTACCTAACATCACTGAGAGCTCCAGCACTTTGGAAAACCTCTTCGCACTATCTGACTCATCAGGTCCTGGAGTATGCCAATGACCTTAAGCAATTCTGGAAGAGAGCTTATGGTCACGATATCAACAGCAAGTCCAGCTGCATTCTCTTCCACGACGCGTTCAGTCGACTGGACAATGCAGCCAGCGAGATCAGGTGAGCAAACCCCCCTTCCTTCAACCTGTAAAAATGTAGGGTGCTGTTGCTCTCTTTTTTCCTGTCATCAATTTAAAAAAACGGTACATATAGATTGAACTTTATGAGACATAAAACTACTCAGCATAAACTATATAGTTCATTGTAGTATTATAGCTCAACGGTATATTGCATGGACAATGCTTCTTCATGGGATATGTTGAAAACAATAAGACGAATGGAACATCATCAGCCTTATCACACCATAACACTTTGACATCCCTTTACACTTTTCACAGAGCTCATTATGTGTTTGACCTGAAACCGATGTTGTGTGCATGTCAGGTTGGGAAAACAGGTGACCGAGGCCGTGACGGTCCAGGTCGGTCATGCAGAGACTCTCCTTCCGCTGCTCACCCTCCTGGGCTTCTTCAAGGACAGCGATGCCCTGACCTCAACCAACTACGCCACACAGGCCCAACGCTCCTTCCGCACCAGCCACATGTTACCCTACGCGGCTAACTTGCTCCTGGTGCTATACGACTGCGGGGGAGGCGAACTGAGACTGCAACCGCTGCTCAACGAGAAGCCTATGACCTTCCCTGGTTTGACCGGCACCCCCGTGCCGCTCTATGAAGACGTCAAGGATCACTACCGGGCACTGCTTCTAGGTTGTGACTTCGAGACTGAGTGTCAGCTGTTCAGGGGTCGTGCTTAATTCTGAGCGGATAGGGTAGATCCTGGATAAAAAGGCATTGCAGTGGGGGTTGTGGGGTTTTTATTGGTCTTTCAGCAGAGAAAAAGGCAGATTTGATGTCTCTGAAACGGATCGAAGCGGATTCATTTCACATTCACCTGTGCGAGTGCAGTATCACTACAACTATATTGCTTATTTTTTTGGGAAGGTTTTCAGAAATTAAAGAGTTTATTTTTGCAGTGTACACATTTTTTGTTGCTCTGGTCAGCCACTCTTGGTTTGTAACAGCACAAGCTTTTGTGGTCAGTATGTATTCAAATGTGTTGTTAACTGTACATTACACATAACATAAATTGTCTGGACTTTCTCGTAAAATATGTTTAGCAGGGTGGTTTCTGCCGTTTGGGTGTCAGGCTACTCTGAAATGAATTATATATTGGTCTAATTCAATTTTATTCACTCACTTCTGGTCATGTCTGCAGCAAATGACTGACCTTTATAACCACTATAGTCCTTAATTGCCGTATCCTGGTTTTAATCAGATAATATTTATAACTTGTAACTAATGGCTTTGTAAATAAAAAAGTCAACATTCATTTGTTCTTAACAGGTTAGAAGCCATTGAAAGAACAACTTTTGGTTTTAAACATCGTCCGAGATCCATTATTTACTTAGTAGTAGTTAATAGTCCTGTCTAAAACCAAACATGTTCCAGGGACGTGATGTTGTGGCCGTTTACAAGTTTTGAAAATACCAGAGAAGGAAAACATATTACTCAGTTCTTTATTGAGGTAACAAGATAGCAACGTCACAGAGTAGAATATGTTAACAGTCCTGCAATCAAAACTTTTCTTGAGTTAAAAAGTAAAAGTAGAGAATGGCTTATTATTTCAGAATTAGGATTTTAGTGAATAAAGATTCCATCCCATGTTTTGCTCATGTGCTATATTAATAACATAGCTCTGTAAAATAGCAATACGTATTTAAAACTGTCGAAGTAAAAGTGCATTTGCCTCCCAACTGCACTGGCAAAAGGAGCACCGTTACCAAGGTAACGTCACTACTCAAGCAAAGTAACAACTAACGTTACCTAGAAGACGCTCATAACTATGTCCCCCGTATTTAAAATGCATTAACTATTTACAATTAGTATCACATTAAGTGTAGAACTGTATCACATCAACGTCACTGGGACTGTGCTCCGTGCGGTGACCGTTGGTGTTCGCCTGCTGCCGGTTGTAGCTCGTAACGGCAGCGGCGCGAGCCTCACGCTAGCTAACGGCTATACGCTCTCTGCGCGGTTCCGCTTCGACAACCGTCGAGATTTCAACGACCCGACGAAGCCTCGGGCGGCGGTGTCAACGGCGCGATACTCTCCGGGAGCCGTAACAACGCCGACAACACCCCACAAACCTCTTTTTTTATTCTCGGGAGAACCCACGAGAATCCAACCTCTGTCCCACTTCTGGCCGGTTTTTGGATGCTCGGCCCCGTCGTGTCGTTTTGCTTGAGTATTGGCTGCTATACGGGAACAATATGCAGATTCATCGGTGCCGGAGGAGGAGGAGGAGGGCTGGAGGCCGGGCCAGCGGAATGCTACGTGTCTTGGAAGTCCCTTTTAAAACCGCCCTCGATCTTCTTCGATTACCAACTTTCTCCAGGTTTACAACTCGCAGACCCACAACCCCCCTCTCCCTTCTCCTCCAGGCCCGTGTGTGAAGAGGTCCGAGCCCCGGTGTCCAGCAAAGTCCCTCGGCGGTGTTCAACGGTCGCGCAAAAATGTCCGGGGTGAAGAAGCTTCGTACGGTGAGTGGATGCGGAGATAACGGTGGGACGGAAACAATCGGAATGCAAGCTGTCATTAGATTCAACCGTGAAATTTGAGTTAAAAGTTGTGTGTGCGTGCGCGCGTGTGTGTGTGTGTGTGTCTTCCGAGATGTAACGTTAAGTTAAGTTAAACCCCCCCTTTAAGTATGTAACGCGTTGTCAACGCGGCGTGTCTCATTTATCGGCTGTTAAACATTGTTCTCGTTAAAACAACAAGGAAAAGTAACGTTAATCCTAATACTTAATGGCCTTTTTTCTCTCTCTCTCCTTTCAATGTAACTGCAGCTCATGTTCTACAACGACCTCCCTTTTTGTGTATGCGTGCGTTTCTTTATCATAACTACGGCTCCTGCCAGGTGTGATGGTCGCAGACTGTGAATAAATGGCCGGTTGTTGTCGTGACGTTTCCACGTCACTTTGGCCCATTCATGATGTAGCGACGCGGAGAAAGAGCCCACTGTGAGACACAAGCACAGGAATGCTGGAATAGGGAATGCAGGAATAGGGTAAAAAAAAAAGGGAATGCATTCCCAAAAACGTTTTTTTGGGACGTACTGAACATTTTTTTTACAGGGAAATGTGGTTGAAAGTGCTTTACAAGAGGAGCTCAAAAACTCAAATGAAATGAGATGAATGACGTGCAGTGATAGTTTGTGGAAAAAGCATGTCTAGGGCAGGGCCTTCTTAAGTTCTGTTAAATAAATACGCCTTGAGTACGTGATTTGAAGAAAGGGTAGTATATTTCTGTTGGTCCAAGGCTGGGGTGTACACATGAATACATTGTAGGCTTGGTCATGTCTTGGATTATGAGATCATGTTAATAATAAGAGCATGTAAAGTACATTTTGTACTTCTTACTAGCTGTAAGTAGGAACGTACAATTAGTTATACAGAATTTGGAGATGTTTTTTTGTAATAACAGTAATTCCCAAAAATGGTTATCATTAACCCAGCAAATTGATATATCATCTCCCCAAGGAACTACAGCTTTATATCTTCCTCACTTTCTTCTTTAAAACACACCTTTATGTGTGAGGTGTCAGTCGGTCAGAATCAGCTTTATTGACAGTGTATACGTTCACATGGGATTTGACTCAGGTTTTGACTTAAACAGCATATACGACAAAGAGATTGTGGTAAAAGTGCAAATGAAGGTGCAGTGTGACCTGATTAACTGTTCATTAGAGACGAAGAGGAAGATGGGATGAGCAGGCAAGAAGTGAAGCCATGGGATGGATGTAGGGATGGGAGGAGAGTGCGTGCAGAGGGCCAACGTGTGGGCACGAGCACTGCCACATCATCGCTGGGCTGCACGCAGCACACTGGACACATTGTCCCGTGTAGTCCTCTCCCCCTTCCTTCCAGGCCTGCCTCAACTAGCCCTCCCCTCTAGAAGTCAATGCAGCCCCATTCATCCTTCATAGTCCCTTTCAACTGGAAAAGTAAAACCAGTCATGCTGGCCTAAACCAAGCGCAAGTCACGATTGCAAAGTGCCACATCATTCTAGGTCACGTGACGTGACAAGGCATTTCAGGCTTCACTTGGCGTGAGGCGAGGTTGCCTTTAGCAACCGGTTTTATACTGTTAGCCTATCGTCTCCATCATATGTAACTCCCTCTGGGCCACTTTATCTTGCTTCTGGCTGAGCATGCATTCTTCTTTTGCAGGATCTCAACAGGTCGACCAACGTGGTGTATCAGGCCCACCATGTCAGCCGCAGCAAGAGAGGGCAGGTGGTCGGGACCAGGGGAGGCTTCCGGGGCTGTACCATATGGCTGACCGGTAAATTTACAATCTCCCATCTCTCCACCTAAAGGTCACGAGGTGGCTCATTCCCTCGGCCACACACGAGAACCGAAGGGGATAGAGACTCATCTGGTCGGGAGCACAAATAGTGCCGTCATGCTGATACGTCTTGTCACTTTTTCGGTCTAGGTCTGTCAGGTGCCGGAAAGACGACCATCAGTTTTGCCCTGGAAGAGTTTCTTGTGTCCCACGCCATTCCCTGCTACTCGCTGGACGGAGACAACATCCGCCACGGCCTGAACAAGAACCTGGGCTTCTCCGCCGTGGACCGCGAGGAGAACATCCGCCGTATTGCGGAGGTGGCCAAGCTGTTCGCCGACGCCGGGCTGGTGTGCGTCACCAGTTTCATCTCACCTTTCGGCAAGGTCAGCAAACATCAGCAGTCATGTGCTGCGGATGTTAAACTGCTCAGTATAAAACAGCTGAAAATGTCTAACGGAGGCTTCAATGTGAGTCTGGAATACACTGCAAAACACATGAATGAGACGTTTGAACTATATTTTTCCACAGGACCGCGACGAGGCGAGGAAGATCCATGCAAGTGCCGGGCTACCGTTTTTCGAGGTGTTTATCCACGCTTCTCTCGCGGTGTGTGAAAAAAGAGACGTGAAAGGACTTTACAAGAAGGCTCGCGCCGGAGAAATCAAAGGTCTGTGTGACACCGCTCACCTCGGTAAAACCTCCCGCCAATGTTTGATGCACTCGGTTAGTGGTACAAGTAAAGCCGAGCCATTAGCTCACTCTGAACTCGTTCAAGTACAAATGGAATAGAAATGTTAATGGGGTTTCACATTTGTTGCCAGGTTTCACGGGGATCGACTCGGATTACGAGCGTCCCGAGGCCCCGGATCTGGTGCTGAAAACCGGAGAGCTCTCAGTAAACGAGTGCCTCCACCAGGTGTTGGAGCTGCTCAAGGAACAGGTGGGTGTAGCAGGACAAATGGACATGGTGCATATACACAGTCTCGGTCACTTTACATTGCTGTCACAATGCACTAATTTCTCCCTTTGTACAAGACAAATGATGAGGCTCACGGGGCTGTCACACGGGTGCGGTGGCCCTAAATAAACAAGCAGCTTTTGTCACAAAGAAGATTCCGCATGGCACGCATGGACAATTCTCGTTTGCATTCTTTATCCAAACATTTGTTTAGAAAGGCAGCTAGAATATAAATAATCCTGGGATTACATATAACGTAGATCAACCAGGAAGTAAGCGTCACTATCATTTAAGCAAACACCCATTGACCTCAAAACGAGGGAAGCTTAAGACCATTTACAACAAAGACTGGCACATTTGCAATTAAAGACAAAACAAAACATGAACGTTCTCTGGTTCGAGCTACTCAATCATGATGATTTGTTGCCTTTGTTTGTCTTTTCATGATAGTAAACTACACAGTTACAACTGTAACTACAACTGGTCGGACAAAAAAACCAAACGATTTATTGAGAAGACGGGAAAATCAATCATGTAATGTTGTTGGTTGCAGACATTCCCAACCACATTCAGATACACAGATATTTCCCATTTCTCCTTGTAAATAGAACATTGTACCAGGCGAGATCATGGAGGAGGTGAATGAACTCTTTGTCATGGAGAACAAGCTGAACCTTGCCGTGGCTGACGCAAACACGCTTCCTACCATCAGCATCACCAAGGTAACCGCCGCTCCAGCAGGCAGCCTTCTTTTTTATCCCAAAGTAAATGGACAAGGAGAGCTGCTGCTGATGAGCCCAT